TTTTTTTTTTTGGGGTTTAATTAAAAAGAAGGGCAGATCTATTATTTAATGGCCAAAATGGAGGGAATTGTGAGTTTTGCTACATAATTAAAGGGTGGGGATGAATTATCCTAAAAAAGGGTTGAAAGTAAATTTGTCACGTTTCACAAATATTAGGGACCAAAAGTACAAATTTTCCTCAAGTCAAAAGAATAAGATTCGAATTGATTCACTCCAGCTCGACCAAAGTTGAGTAAGAAAACAAACGACTGAATTCGTACCTTCAACATGCGCGCACAAGAAAAGAAAAACGAAATCATACATTCGACAGCTAAAATAATCTTGCAGATATATTGTTTTTTACCCTGTTCATATAATTTGGAGATTCTAATAATGAAATTATGCATGTTAATTATATCCTTTGAACTTCATGTGGTATTAATCTCAAGCATGGAACTACATAAATAACATCAACTTATTAAACCAAACAAGACAGCAACAGCAAGGTTACAATGAGAAGCAAATTTAACCCAAAGTATACTGAACATATGCTTCAGCACGTTCGGCTACAGAAAAAAATGTAGTACTTAAACTTAACTTTTATGCTTAGCCTAAATATGCCCAGCTTAAAAGTTAGTTTTAAGTAACATTTTTTTTTGGGGGCATAACATGGTTGCCAAAGAAGAAGTATAGCTTTTAATTCAGAAACCTATTATTCTAGAAGTCTTTATTTACTTTTGAAAGTACTACTTTTTTTTCTAGGCTTAGACAAACATGTCATAAAAAGTAGTAGTTTCCTCCTTATTTTGGAAACTTAAATAAAAAGGTCATTGACAAGGCTATTGTCCAATGAGGAGAAACTTCTAATTTTTGCTATGTATTGGAGGGGAATGAGATGCATCTACATGTCAGCTCAAATGTGTGCTGACTCTGCAATAGCATATCTGGATCGAGGTCGGGATGGAGGCAGATAATGATGCTTGAATCGTATCAGTAAAACTCAATAGGGAAAGACCAACTTACGGAAATGACTAGTCGGAGGAAACTAAATCATGGGATCTTTGAGATTTCCACCAGAAGTTTATTCAATGCTTGAGGTTTTGAGAAAAAAGGGGAGTGATCAGCACCTTTAAGATGGAATACACTCTCTGGGGGACTTTTGTATATCATACTTTCCTGTACAGCAATAGGTATAGCATTGTCTTCTGGAGTTTCAATATAAAAACGTCTCACGGAGCCATATTTCGTCTCAGAAAGAGAGAGCTTCTCCAAAACTGGTGAAAAAGGGATTGGCCTCATCGATACTGAAGCTAATGCAACATCCTGCTAAGTGAAAAGAATAAGGAATTAGAAAGGAGTAAATAGTCCAATGCACCAGAATTTGCAAATTTACGACACTTATTGATGAAATTTAGGTCCTCTAAACAGGACATTTTCGCGATATCTTAAATTATACCACATGGGTTGTTATAGTGTGAAATTTATAATGAACCTCCAAAGGAGGCAATTAATATGTAAAGTTCAGTATTCTCAATTAATACGTAAATTTATAGTTTGCACCATCTGGCTGCAGACTTGCCTTCAGCTTGACAATTTCGACTTGCTAAAGTTCAGTATTCTCATGTTTCCAAGATCAACTGTAAAACACGAGCCTAGTGAGGTATTTAACATTTAGTGAAAGCTTGTTTTCAGCCATCTAGGAATATATGAATATATTCAACAAGATGATGATGAGTTGGCAGTCTACGATACTTAGGTGGGTCGGGGGCATATTTTGCATAGACTTAAAGGCGCCTGTTTAGAAGAGGGAGGTAACTAAACGTAAAAGGGCTTAATATTGTTGGAAAAGGTTTCAGCATTTTGAACTATAATGCTAATACATAGTATGTCCAAGCAGTTTAGGATTATTATTTTCATGATCATGACATTTCATTGTGGCACGAAATTTATTATATTATATGGCTGACAAGGCTAGAGGCATGGACATGTCCATACTTGATGTGTAGAACATCTACAATCTTGTTTGACACATCGGAGGTACACATTACTGAATCATAATCACAAACTTTTCTAGGATCAACATTTTCTCAGTCATGTTTTCAGCTTTCCATTTTGTATTCAGTGAATACATACAGTAATGCTTGATGGGTGCTTATATATCAAAGTGAAAACAATTTACTTTCAGCAGACCATACCTTGGCAGGACTTCGGTTGAATAATAATTCCTTTAAGAGAGATTTGTCGAAGTCAATAGAAGTTGGAGGCTGATTGTTCCCATTAGCATAATGAAATATCTGAGCCTGTCGCATTAAATCGTTTGAATCCACCTGCAAATTAATCGTATGTCACTTAAATTAAATCAATAGTAGAAAGTCAACGTTCAATGCAGTAAAATAAATCACCACCTCTGAACAGATAAAAGATGTACCGGTGCTTCAGCAAAAAGACTGAACACATACTAAGCCCATATGCCACAACTGAAAGCTATGCTCAGGTTGATAACGCTGAACTAATTTTTTAAAGAATTGACTTTTTTCTTTTATTGCAGAAGAACCTAATTTCTCAGATTTTGGTTGAAATGACCAGGGTGTGATTAGTTTTGAGGCAAAAATATAATGCGTGAAAACATCTCATCTCCCTTTGGCTTCCTTCTTTTGATGACTAAGAGCAGGTCAGGCTCGCCGCTCGCATTGACTTATTCAATCCCTTGTGCTTACAGAATCTTATCTTCACTTCAGTAGTGGATAAGTTTAGGTAGTCGAAGGTTTTCTGAATGTGCTAGTCATCACTATTTGGTACTTAAAAAAAGAAATCCTTGAAAGGCAAAGCGAAAGTGCTTTTGATTGTGTCTCAATCAGTCACTCGTCCATTTAAACAGTATCTGATCCGGACAAGGTAAAATTTAACAAGTAATCAGTTTAGTACAGCGGACGGTTATTTAAGCCCCTGTTTGGCCCCCATTTTTTGGGGTGCAAAATTTGTGGAATAGTGATTGATGGAAAAATGTATGGTGGAAAAGTTTTAGATTTGTGTGTAATATTATTTTATTTGAGAATGTGTGGTTGAGATGAAGAGAGAAAAAAAATTAATGTAATGGAATGAGAAAAAATGGGGCTCAAACGGGGGCCAAGTCTTAGCCAAATCGAGTTGGTAAACCCCTCTTTCCTCCAACATGACCGAATATCTATCAAACAAGATTATTTCCAATTTGGCACGACTTTTTTTGAAAAATCAAAAATGTTGCTTGTGAGACTAAGAAGCTAGATAATTATTTGAAAGTGTTTTGTGTGGTTACAAGAGCTTTTAGAGGAAGCTAGTCTAGGTAATAATTTCTTCACGAAACTCTTCTACATGAAGCAAAAGAAAAAGCTGAAGTCTTGCCAAACGGTCCTAAAATTAGCCAAAGGTATGCAATTTCAGTTTCCAATCCTGCTTCGCTGAATGATCTTTGTTTCTCTGTCAACATTGAAGAGAAAAATAAAGAAAATAGCATTGATGTTTTAAGTGCGCAAGTAGGCATTTTAGTGAATCTTGTTCAAAACAAGATGGATAAAATGAGAAGGACCAGTCTTAGACCCTTAGCATCGCCTGCTTTATCTTCATATGGAGAGAGAACAATTGATGGAAATTATAGATACTTCATTTTCCTTAGGAGATGGAATGGCTATTGTAGAATCCAATGATAAATGAGAATACTGTTGGAAAATATGCTCCAACGGTGAACGATTTGATGAGAGAGAACAAGCAGATAAATCCTGTCACAGTCGTGGACTCCAGGATAAATCTCAATTTCTACTGGAGCTCTTTTTTCTCTTTCCACTTCAACCTATACAAATCTGTTCATTGTTTGGATATGGCTATTCATATATTACTTCAAGTATATTAAAACAGTCTGATTCTGATCTAATTTTTCTATCAAATGATTGTTTTTAGTTTCTTTTATGCAATTGTTGGGGTATAATCGCAATTGTACAGTGTCAATTAAACAAGTAGTAAAGACCTAAAGTGTCCGGATTATCTTTTGAGCATGGACCCTTTCTCTGTGACAATTATCTTATGTTTACCTGCACACGCACAAAGCTCAAAGGCTCTAAATCGTGTGTTGGGTAGCAGCATATGATGGTATTGCTGCATTTTCATTCTCATACTTGCCTGTTTTCCATTGCAATAAAGAATTTCTAGGAAACTTGAGCCGAACCAAAGGAGGAAAGGTCTGAACTAGAAAAAAAATGACGTTTGAATTTAAAGTTTTACCTTGATCATACCTCTTGGAAAAACTGAAGAAAGCAGTACTAATTGCAATTCTATGATGATTTCGAATATGATTAGGCCATGCTATAGCCCTTTTTTATTGTTAGATGCCATAGACTTAGTCAAGTTAAAGCTAATGCTTCTCATGTGCTACAACATACTTTGTTGATGAAAACTATATTACTATTTTTTTCTATTTATTATAATGTCCAAATGGAGATAGAGTGGCTGCTGTCTATTACTATTTTATTATTAGGCATTGCCTTTCCAACATTATAGGGGCTCATTAGCCTCTGACTATTAGTAATGACTTATAATTGCTTATCAGTTGAGTTGGATCCAACTTAAATGTTATAAAATCTTGGCCCGGCTACCGATTAACGATTTTATATTGTTTGATAGATTTCGTCGGAGGAAGAGGTGAAAATAATTCATGTAGTCGACTTCAATTTTATTAAGATCTCTCGTCAGTGGTGAAGGGAGACGAGGAATGCCCATTTTAATGATGAATATTGTAAACTTAGGAAACTAAAGTACATTAATATAGTTAATTATTGATAATGGTGTTGTTAAAAAGGTAATTAACAAGGGTAGTGGATGAAGCACCGCCGGCCGACAAGAATCAATAGGTCGTCGTCCTCCCAACCTCCGGGGGCCATCTTGAAGGCATTAGCCTTTAACTAAAATACACTCTGGATTCAGATTCTTAGTATAATATTTACACTTGGACTATTTCTCATTATTATAAGCCAAAAACTCATGATTCTGTAACATGAAAGACATAATGATTCATATAAAGATAGAGAGCAAATTGTTGCTTTTTACAATTTATAAAAAAACTAGTATGGCTCCTAAAGCCAAAACCGTGTTTTTTCAAAAATAGTAACATTCACAAAAAGCGTAAAGAGAAATTAATTTGAACATTATTTATTTTGAATTTTAAAATTTAGAATTTGTATTTTAATTGAAAATTTTTGAAGAAAAAAAAGTGGGGGAGGGGCGCCCCGCCCTGCCCTTCTAAGGTGGAGCGGCGAACCCACCCCGCTGCCATCTATAGGTGGGGTAATCAATCACTTGGTCTTGAAGAAACATGAAATGAGAGTAATCTTAGTTTCTATGAATAACAAAGTGGTTCACTTGACATATCCTTTACTTATAGGTGTCTCCATGGGCGGATCTACAGTAGGGCCTAGTGGGGCACGTGCCCCACTAGGTTTTGAAATTTTTTTTTTATTTTTTTATTTTTAAAGGAAATAATTCAAAACCTCGTGAACAGGCTCTCTCCTCTCATTTCTCTCCATAACGCACCTGACTCGGCGACGGCGACTCCGGAGTCCCTACAGGCGATAGACGATAGTCGACGCCCGACAGTGGCACCACCTCTCCGGCATCTCTCCCACCGTCCGGTCCGTCCCAACTCCCTCCTCTCCGAGCTCTATCGGTCTCCCCGCCGGCACATCCGGACCCGACCCCTGGTTGTCGCAGGCTCGCAGCGTCGCTGACTGCCTGACTCGCTGCTCGCTTGCTCCGCCAGTCCGCCTCCGGCTCCGGTGACGAGGTAACTTCCGCCAAAGCGACTGCCTACTGATTCTTCATTCTTTTAGGGCTTTTGAATTTTGAATATTGATGTTGGATTTTGAATATTGATGTTGGATTTTGAATTTTGTTGATCTATTATTCAATGAGTCAACCTCTGTGATTTGTGAAGTGTGAATCTGTGATGTTTTATGTTTACATTTTGATTTTGGGATTTAGGGATTTTTTTATGAATCCCTAAATTTGAAGTGCATCACCAATTTGAGAGATCCATTGATTGTAGGAGAATGGTCAGTAGAACCATGAAACATCTGAGTGTAGAGTGCTGCCGCCTGCTGCCCTACACCAATTGTGAGATCAGGATTTGGACATTTGGGGTAGTACGTAGTAGACTAGTAGTTAAGGTTAATTAATTTGTCTTTGGGAGATAGAAACCGAAGTTGACTACGTATGGCCAAACCTAAATCAAAGAATGAATGCAAAGAGTTCTGCTAGTAAGAGATTCATATTCCCAATCAAATTTATTGAGAATGAAGCTTACTTTCCTCTTTCGAATACTTCTTCTTGACTGAAATAGGAATTTTTTTACGAATCCATTCTATTTAGGGATTTAGGGATTTTTTTATGAGAGTTCATTTATTGAGAAGACATTTTTGATTTAGGGACTTCTAACATGATTGATTTTTTTTTTTTTTTTATCAGTTATGGAAAAATACTTTAAACGTAAATCTATGATTTCTTGTGATGAGCAAAATACCGATGAAAGGAATGTTCGAGACAAAAATGATGTTGATGTTGGAGAAGTTGGGAATGTTGGAGAAGTTGGGGATGTTGAAAAAGTTGGGGATGTTGATGTTGCAAATCTTATTGCTGATCCTGGGTTGAGAGTTCCAATACAGAATTATGATGTTAATGTTCGAGACGTGATTCGAAGAGCGTATGTGCAAAAGGGTCCTTGCCAGCCTCGCATTCATGCATTTCCATCCACAAGAATGGGTAACAAAGATAGACGATTTTGTGTTTCGTGGTATGATGAGTATCCTACTTGGTTGGAATATAGTGTAGCAAAAGATGCAGTTTTTTGTTTTTACTGCTATCTTTTCAGTTCGAGTGATTGTTCTTTTCTTAATGACGGATTTTCAAATTGGAAAAAGAAAGAACTTCTTAGAAAACATGTTGGGGCTTCAAGTAGTGCACACAATCAGGCTAGAGTTCAATATGAATCGTTCAGGAATCAAGAGCAAAGTATTCGATCATGTCTCGTTAAGCAATCTAATCAAGCTCGAACAGATTATAGAATTCGATTGAGTGCGTCAATTGATTGTGTCCGATATCTTCTACGACAAGGTATGGCTTTTCGAGGACATGATGAATCTGAAGATTCAAACAACCAAGGAAACTTTCTTGAACTACTACGTTGGTTGTGTGATCATAATGATGAGATTAAGGCCGTTGCTTTGACGAATGCACCTGAGAATTTCAAATTAACATCACCACGAGTGCAGAAAGATATTGTGAGTGCTATTGCTTCTGAATGTCTAAATGTGATCATGAAAGATGTCCGTGAAAGTTTCTTTTCAATTTTAGTTGATGAATCTCGAGACATTTCAGTTAAGGAGCAGATGTCGATTGTCATTCGTTATGTGAAGAATGGGCATGTATTTGAACATTTTGTTGGTGTCCAGCATGTTTCCAGTACCTCAGCTATCTCACTTAAGGGTGCAATTGATCAATTCTTCTCAACGCATAGTTTAAGTATATCTAATTTGCGAGGTCAAGGATATGATGGAGCTAGTAACATGCGAGGCGAGTATAATGGCCTCAAAGCACTTATTTTGAAAGAAAACTCAAGTGCATACTATATTCATTGCTTTGCTCATCAACTTCAATTAGCTCTTGTAGCTGTGGCACAAAAACATCCGAAGATTGAAACTTTTTTCACTACAGTACATAGATTGGTGAATATTGTTGGTGGATCGGCTAAGCGGAGTGATCTTATTCGAGAGAAGCAAAGGTTGAAAGTTCTTGAATCACTCAGTGTTGGTGAATTATCAAGTGGACGAGGTCTCAATCAAGAAACTACTCTTCAACGTCCTGGTGATACACGTTGGGGCTCTCACTATGGTTGTTTAATTAACTTGATTCTCATGTTTTCAACCATAGTCGACGTTGTTGAGATGATTGCGACTGATACTACAAGTACCGGAACAAGAGGTGATGCTTGTATTTCACTTGAGTTGATGTTAAAATTTGAATTTGCATTTAATCTACATCTCATGAAAAAGATTTTGGGAATTTCAAATGAGTTGTCGAAAGCATTACAACGAAGAGATCAGGATATTGTCAATGCCATGAGATTGGTGCAATTATGTAAATTACAACTTCAAAAGATGAGGGATGATGGATGGGAATCTTTTCTTGAAATTGTTTGTTCGTTTTGTGAAGTTCATGAGATCAATGTTCCCAATATGGATGATAAGTTCATAACTGTAGGTCGTTCCCGGCGTGAGACAGTGACAAATTTGCATCATTATCGTGTGGAAATGTTTTATGCTATCATTGATATGCAACTTCAGGAGTTGAATGATCGTTTTTCTGAGGTAAACAGTGACTTGCTCATTTGTGTTGCATGTTTGGCTCCACATAACTCATTTGATGTTTTTGACAAGAACAAAGTGATTCGACTATGTCGGTATTATCCGGCAGATTTTGACGCAGGAGATATCTCAGAACTTGATGATCAATTAGATACATATATTCTTGACATGCGTACATCCGAAGACTTTGAAGGATTACAAGGCATTAGTGATCTTGCACAGAAGTTGGTTGCTACGAAGAAACACGAAGTGTATCCGTTGGTCTATAAGCTTGTGACGTTAGCCTTAGTTCTTCCTGTTGCTACTGCTACAGTCGAGAGATCATTTTCTGCGATGACTTATGTCAAAAATCGTTTGCGCAATCGAATTGGAGATCAATGGTTGAATGATAGTTTGATTGCATATATCGAGAAAGATGTATTTGATAAGATTGAAAATGATGTAATTATGGAACGTTATCAGAATATGAGAACACGTAGAGAACAATTGTAATAAAATATGTCTTACTTTAATTTTTTCGTTACTTTTTAAAAGTTTGATTGTGCCCCCCCAACATAAAAAGTCTGCGTCCGCCCCTGATGGTATGCCTTGAAGGGAGTATTTTGCAATCTTTTTAAACAAGGTATAAAAAGTCTGCGTCCGCCCATGAGTGTCTCTGATCGAAATTTTCATAGCTCGGCATAGGCCGTACTTCTCTCGCATCTCCCAGATTTTACAATTGTTTCGCAAAACTTTCTTCTTTTTTTCACAAATTACGACACAAAATGGCTGCCTGTCATAAATTGAGTGGATGGTCATGCTAATCGTTTCTCTCTTTTTATCTTTTTTTTTTTCTTTTTATATTTAAACAAGTAATTTTGGATACCTTTTCTCAGGTGACAAACTATGAACCATCTAATCAATCAAAAAATCCCATTATGTCATACAATTCTGAACCTAGTTTTGTGAATGTATGCTTCTGTATGCTTTAGTTTTTATTCTGACACTCAAACTCACCACTAATCTCATACATCCAATCCCACAAATTCTTTCTAGAACCTTTTATTCTCAACTCTATACTTAATTTCCTTCAAATAATGATTAAAGCATGAAATTATTTCAATTCCAACTATAAACTACGCTTTTTCTCAATAAATTCAGATCGGTTATATGAATTATTTTTCGTTACTCTTTTTGGCTAAGAACACAAGATGATCGACAACTTTTACATCACATGTCATACGATTTGAAAAAAGTTTTATGCTCGATGTCAACCAACCTCAATATTTTTCTCCTTTTCTCAAATTTGAGCCTTGATATGAAAAACATAGACGGAGTTGACAATTGTTTATTTTGATAAGGTAATTTTTTTTTTTTCCTTTTTCTAAATTGACTGATATTTGGTAACCATTAGATAATAAGCACCATAGATAGTAGATTTGTAGGGATAAAGTGCCTTAGACCGTGTATGTGTCACTATACGGCTGTAAGAATTGCCACAATAATAGCTATTTCCCATAATTCTCAACTGATAATGAAGTTCTTATTTTCAAGTGGTGAAGCCTGTGCAAACACAAGTTGTTGCCACGAGTTTCTGACGAGGAACGTACTTAGTTTAGTATGTTGGACGCGTGGAGTAATTATACTGATTACTTTTTTTTCTCAACTTCGAAATTTTAATATACTGAGTAGTCATAATAACTTCTATAAATGATATTTGTTTGAGCCTTTTTCTTTCTCGAGTTCACAAATAAATTGTAATTCTTTTCTTCTTTGTTAACCGTGCGGCATGCGATGAATGTAATTCTTGCACTGGGAGCGAACCACTCTGAATGATGTATTTCTTACTTTTTGATTTTCAGTTTCGGATTGCTATTGCTCTCGGTAGTATGAAATTGGGCATTAAATTCTTCTTCAAATAAATTATAAATTTAGTCTTCATGAATCCTTAAAATACTTCATAAAACTAATTCAGAATCGATGAACATTGCAGTAGAAGAGCTCCAAACATTAAAATTTAGGAACTCTTCCAAGGATTAAGGCATCAGATTTGCTGAAAATGCATTGAGAAAGTTGATCCAATTGTTATCATCTTCCTCGACTTGTACATGATCCAACTGAGTTTGAGTCATTTTCTCTGTTTCGTCGTTCCTCATGAATCTTCCCCTGATGCGTGGTCTACTCTCCGCTAAAGTTTTCCTACATTCATACTGATCAATAGTAAAAAATTGATGTTAGAAAATTGTAATGTTAAATGAACATGTGAATTTTATGAAGTATAAATATTGCTAAAAGAAGTTAAAATTCTTGTAATGTCGAGTCCTTTCAACAAATCAAAGAAGAAACATGTTAACATATTTATAAACCTTGATCTTCTTGTTGAAATTCCTCAGATTCCTCTTGTTTCTGTATCGTTCAATTCTCTCTTTCTTCTCCTCCGGACTGTACTTGCATGCTTTGTTCATACTTTCTATTATACTCACCTCATTCGCTATCGAACTATTCAAGCTTTGCTTGTGTTGCACCAGTCTTACGCCCTGATACATTGAAATTCCAAGAGATTAAAAAGGGCAAAAATCTTTTCCATTATACTGTCCAAGTCGAGTACTTCATTTACCTGTAAATCACCGGTGCTTAGTACCTTTCTGACCAAGCTTGTATCGGACGGGGACGAATTATTCACTGGGGAGTAGTAAGATTCAAAATTTTTGTGAAGAGAGTGGCTACTAATGCTCCTTTGAAGTAAAGTTGGACAATATGGTCCATAACCAGTGATTGAATTGGGTGAACCAATGTTGCTGCATCCACTGCTGCTGTACCCAAGCTCGGATTTTAATGCAGAAACTGAGTCGTATTCACTGCTCGGAATCGCGAGAGATGAGAAGGGCGTAAGTGGTGGGTAAGTTAGGTGTGCTGTGGTGTCCTCTGGTAATGAAAAATGAGCAAGAAATTCCATTGAGTATTCATTCCCATGCCCGTACATGTCGAGTCGAGTGCTTGTTTTACTAAGGTCAAGGTTTAGTTTCTGTGTTGTAAGAGAGAGGTGGGAAAATGGTTTGATGAAAACTAATAGGCATGTGAAGTCTTCTTAAATGGTTTTGGACAAGTTGGGTGTCGATGGAGATGATGACGTCATTCTCTGAGAGGCGTTGACTTGCTAATTCCTTTTATCTGTGCTATCATTGAGTTCTTGCTTGTGGGGGTGGTGGCGGGGGGGGTGGGGGTGGGGGGTGGAATATTAGAGGCATTTGCAATTTGTACACATGAAAGTGATGCCCTAAAGGATTTCATTGCATGAACTAAGTTGATTTTGCATGCCTTTTAGCAATGGCAATGGTAAGAGTAGTGGTAAATGTCCTTCTCATCCTAACACGTAAGTTATAGTAGCGATAATTGTCTGGAGAATCTTTTAATTAGTAAATAAAAAAACTCATTTTTTTCGTTGTCTTTTAACTGTCAAACAATTTTAAATAATGTTTGTCAATTTGAAAACAAACAAGTAATGTGTTCGAATTAATGAATGGGTTCTATAATCGATTTATAGCCTTTGGATATTGAAGGGGAACTTAGAGTGATCTCATGGTTCTTGATCTCAAGATGCCTTTGATTGAATGTTCACTCTTGATTCATGCTTAACACTTCATTTGTCTTCGTCTAGCACTTGAGATGCATTTTTGGTAGTGGTATACTGGACATGCTCTTAAGCAATAATGTTCTTATTTATGCTTGGTTCAACTCAATAGATTCACATACAATTGAGGACCAAGCAATTGTGATGTTTGATATAGCTTCATGAATCTTTCTATAGTGGTAGTGACATCACTTAGCGATAAAGAAGAAAAGTAAGAGGTGATCACAATATTTAGTTCAGAGCAATCACACTTTATTGAATTGGTTTTGCTCTATTGAATAATTGTAACATTACATGGCTCCTGTTTGACAACCATTAAAATGACTCTTTTTTTTTTCTTCTCAAATTCATTTTCAATCATACACATTCTCACAATAAAATTTTTATACGTAAACTAAATTTTTTTTTTCTATTTTTTAACTACATATTTTCCAGAAAATGAATAGTACATATTTTCTATGTAAGAATTGGGGCTTTACTTTTTTAATTTAATTCTTTTTTTGGCTTTTAATTAACTGTCAATGATCAAGTTTGCGGACACAGAGTGTCCCACAGTCAACAATGTAATAGAATGCTCTTTTTTCTGATGTGGTCCTAAGATCATCTTTCAAGTTTATGCTCAAAATCTGCCTCGTGAGACATTTATTCTCACCCAACTTGCAATTTGACTATAAAATATAATGAGACCCCACCACTTAGTTTTAAAAATAGACAATTAATACTTAAACTTGCAATTGGCCTATACTATGCAACAATCATTAATCATAGATTAGGGATGATCAAACTTAATTAATCATTGTTAGAATGACATGGACATTGCATAAATAGAGATGTTAAGCTTCTAATTTAGGAATAAATTAAATTATTTTTTTGACTGATCAAACAAATAATGTCTTGCATTGACTAATTATATGTCTCATTCAAGAGAGTTCAAAATTTCTTCATTTGAATGAAAAACTTTTGAATACTTTGGCACTCTCTCCTCCCATTAAGGTCGAACTTAAACATGTACCTGAGACAAATTTCCATAAATTTACGAGAGGACCTCTCAATATTTTTTTGTCTCATCAGAGTAGTTTATATATACTTGTCAAGATCAACATTGTCCAAATCATCTTATTGATTAAACTTTGATATTTTTAAAGTTGTCGATGTTTTACCTTGATATCTTAAAATTTTAATTATGCATGCATTTATATTGTGCATATACAATGTCTTGACATGTTCCGACATCGTAGTTCGTTTGAGAAAACCTTTGAAACAGATGGTTTGTTTGAGCTTGTTGAACTCTGATACTATATTAAGAATTTGGATTGTATAATCAACTTTATTAAAAAAAAAGAGTAATACAAGCTCTTATATACTGGTTCTTGTGAGATTTATGCTTGACCGTTTGAGATTTATATACTATATTAAGTTTTTCAATATCTTGTTGTATTAATTAGTTGAAATAGTATTAGTTGGGTTAAATTTGAACATTTGTTTACCATCTCATCTAAAAATCTAAATTATTTAAATATTAGCCGATTACAACGATACTCTAATATAATTTTAGTCACCCCATCTAAAAATTTCAAAACCAAGTATATTTCTTTAAAGTCGATCAAAATAATTTGAATAGAAGAAACTAGAGATTCAAGCAATACACGGTCTACTCAAATCTTTGTATACATCATCATGAGCATTTTGAATGTCTCCCAATTGTGGAAGTCTCTATATATTTTCCATGTACGTATATTCTCCTTTAAAACTGGACCCTACCCCTTGGGCTTAGGGGTAGGTTTGGGGAACATCTGCTTTGTCTTTGATTCTTGAGAATCCTCTATATAGCTGAGTGTGAAATGATGAAAGTGGAGACTTCAATGCACAAAGTAACTAACAATATAGTATTGAACGTTTCGCTTTTGGGTTGGCCGATAACTAAGTCCAAACTATGCAAATCCATCACAACCAAAGAATTCTGCACTGTTTATAAAGAACTGGCGTGGTTTTATTCCTCACGGGTTTCATTTCTTATATGAATTGTCACATCATGTGATCACATCTACAAGAAGTCTCTAATCAATGTTGAGAATCAAAAATACTTCAAAATAATAATAGAAAAATCTACAAAATGGTTATAGTTAGATGGACTATGCTACTTGTACATAATTTCTTGTACATAAGGGTGTCCACCATCTCACATGGGGTGGACCCCGCATGATTAAAAAAAGAATTTTNAGGGTGGACACCCTTATGTACAAGAAATTATGTACAAGTAGCTTTATCCATAGTTAGAGAGATCAATTTTTGCAAGAAGAGAAAATAACGAAAAGAAACGGTGAGAGTTTTTCTCAACTACAAAGAAGTCATTTGTTGCAATTGAGTGGTCTAAATAGAAGTAAGGACAAGCACTAAAGTACTATATGATAGTGTGAAACCATGTAAAGTCGAAATTAATGTGTTTTATAGGGTATGTTGATTTTTATTGAGTTCAACATCTTGATACAATTTTGCCTTTTATTTGCGATCGAATCACCCTTCAATTTGTTCTCGATTGCCAAATCCATTTGGCGAGTCCCCAAGGTGCTATCATCTCTGGGTTCAACATATTGGTGCACGGTGTGTAGTGCGGTTTACCTCTCCTATGTGGTTTGCTACTGCACGAGAAACGAGATTTACCTAGTATGCACTCATAGTGGTCGAGGCTCCGCTGACAAGTAGCGGCTACGGGTTCCTACGTCAACAAAAAAAAATAAATAAATAAATAGACATAGGAAATGGATACCATTGACGAGTTTTGCACTAGTTTAATTTCAACCCACCAATCTAAATTCTGTCACACCAATGTATGATAGTTATAACTTGTATCTCTACCAACAATGTGAAATCTGATCTAAAAGATTGTTCCTAAACAGGTCTTGGGATGTAAATGGGTCGGGTTGGTCCACCAACCCAATGAGTGGTTGACTAAAACGGTCTGGGCCAAACCACATTATTCCATATTTGAGGGTATAAATATATGGACCCATATACATATAGTTCGGCTCCTATCAATCAAGGTCGGGCAAACCCATTTACCTTTTTCGAGTGCAAAATTTAAAACTAAGAATAACAATGTAAAAAATAAGGCTTGATTTATAGAACTATAATAATAGGACTTTTCGCATAAAAAAAGCCCAGATTATTGTAACTTGGAATATAACATTATGTAAAGTTAAAAAAAAATAAAAAATTATCTTTTTTCCTTTTCATATTTGTATCCGAGATAGGATTTCCACGGAAAATACGAATGCCAATAATTGTGAAGAAAAATATCAAAACTAGTGGCTTATAACTGAAGAATGATATGACCTTTAATGGGTCCAAATATGATAATTGTACAAGTTTGAACTTGGCTTTTGCCGAAAGATAAAATCCAGAGGGTGGTTTAGATTATGCCTACATCCTACTACATATATATAGTGATCATCTCCTATTTGACCCAAGGTAGATATATCCTAATTATACATAAAATCTTGATATTTATGGAGTTCCAACATCTATTTGTTTCTTGCTAGCTCTATAATTGCAACAGCATAATGTTTGAGAAGTAGAACATGTCTTATTATGTTATTGCACTGATTGCATTGCCCTCTGAAATGAGTTTTCGTGAAAGGGTATGAAAAATAGGACGGACTATTCAATGTCGGTGTGTCATATCAGAATATGACATGATATTTCACATATATTGTCATGTTATCTTGTCTAGTTTGTACAATGTATGAGGAATTAACGTGTGATTGAAAATGTTTGATTTTAACTGAACTTATAAATAATTTGTAATTTGTTATCGAAATGGAGGCTAAATAAGTTAAATGAATTAGTTATGACACATTGAAATTCATCGACCCAATTGAAATTAGAGTGAAATGTCTGTGACCCTTATGTTATTTACACAAACTTAGTTGTAATATATAATTATTTTAGAATAAGTGATTGTCAATATTATGGTTAGTACTTTCCCCAACTCACAGATGGATCAAATCTCGACTACTGTTGAAGGTAGAGCGCTAACTTGTAGACTGATAATAAGAGTTGAAATAATATGATGAAGTGAAATAAAGAAGTGACAAAAGGGCTTTAAGTTAGAGATAGGTAAACCGTAAATGTAGCACTATGGTCATTTTCACTAGCACATTTCTCCAATAAAAGGAAGTATCTCTTCTATCAAAAAACGGAGAAGGTCAACTCCATTAACTTGCCCCTCATTTTATGTTTATGGGTTGGGGGAGGGGAATGATTTATGTTTGTAATTGATGTCTATTCTTGAAAAAGGTTTGGATTCGTGTAGATCTATGCATGATGGACCGTTTTCTAACAATGACCGTTGTTTTTTTCAATTCTAATGAACTGTTTTTCAAGTGGTCCATGTGAATGATGTATCATGGAAGAATGTTGGGATCTTGTCATACCAAGCATAGGATGTCAAAGTGTGGAATGAATCGAGTTGGTGCAACATACTTTACAACTCTAGATAGATACTAAGGAATGAACTGAGGCACAAAAGTCGTTTCATTTGTTATTCTTGTGAGTTAAAAGTTCGATTGTAATTAATTTGATATTAGCTACAGTATTCATGACTCAACAGAGGAAGAGAAATGAAGAAATAGAACTAGATGTTACTTAACATTGTCGACTGATACTTCAACCAATGAATTAATATCTAATTATCTCGTTCTCGATTGTGTCAAAATCTCCAAGTAAAGCAGCTGGATTTTTCTTTCAAGTAGGATGCATTTTCCATGTAAATTAATGGGCCTTTTTGGTCCACATATTGGATCGAGTCCATCAAGGTAGTAGTAATGCTATGGATTGGGCTACTTTAAATTGATCTATAATGACCCAATTTCTTGATGGATTTGAGTTTCGTCTTTGGTGACCCATAATAGCAAAGCATAAGCAGAGCAATTATATGTATATTCACATAAAAAATAAACAAAATGTCTATGTATTTTGAATTTGCCTAACAAGAAAAAGAAAAAATGCAATTGAAAAAATAATTAATTCATTTGCATTTGAAAGAGCTTCTAGTTGACAATTTTACTAAGCTTAGGTGACAAGCAAACCAAAAAATTGTGGCATATTGCATATTTAGCCTTTGTTTGATCTCCATTTTTTTCAAAATACATTTTTCTCTTTCTTCATTTCAATCACACATTTTCAATAAAATAATATTAAACGTAAATTCAAAAAAAATTATTATTTTTTAACAACACATTTTCTATCAATCTAATATTTTTACACAAAAAAAAAAAAAAGTGGGGCTCAACCATGCTCCTAGTAAAGAACATCAAAGATTCATTTCTACCAAGGTAACATGGGCTACCACATGTGGTTGAATCATGAATGCTATTTTCTCCAAAAAGCTGATGTTTTAAGATGACATTTCAATTTTAGAACCACCTCAACTTTTTAGTTTATTTTTTTCCTATTCAAGCATCCATTCAAAAATCCAATGATCTTTCTCCACTTACCACTTTGGCATTTAGAACTAAATTTTAATTTCTTTTTCTTTTTAATATTGTATATCTAGTACTGTAACGTATATCTATCGATGAAGGCGTCAAAGAATTGGAAAAACTTTCGATAAGACATGAATTGGCTAACTCTAGTTACAGACTTTATTGTCAAATGGGCATATAGAATGGATTTTTAACTCACATCTTCGAGCTCACGACAAATTTATGTTATCTCCTTAAGATAATTTTATTCCCTCTATTTCTAGTTTCGAGCAATTTGTCACGGATTTATTTTTTTGATGCCTAGCCGTCCAGTTTCGGCAACTAATCATGGGGTCTACACCTTGGCCATAAAAGACGCAGACCAAGTAAACCGCGGGATGTGCCCCAAACTGACCAAGGTCCAAGAGCCCCCTCTACTGATCTGTCAAAGTGTCGAACGAGTCAACACATGTTGCTCCTTGCCTTCCAGGAGAACTTCTGCCTTCCAGAATATAAATCTTGCATTCCAGGAGAGAGTCTGCCTTCCAAGAGCCTCACGAATCAAACTCGCGACCTTTGAACTGCCAGCAACTAAGAACCTCGTCCTTTGCCAGTTGGGATGTGCCCCGGGGGCAGTCACGGATTTTTGTTCCTATGGTATAGTGAGTTATAACTAAACCAAAGGGGAAGAGAGTAATTTCAGTATATGAATTATTGAGGCACCACCATGTTACCTAAAGGGCATGTGCCCTTATCACATCACTCTTTATCATGTGGGACACTTCTGATACCAAACACGAAGTCTGAAATTTTCTATTATCACCACATTTTTTTTATTTTGATGTTTTACCGTGCATTTCCGCCATTAGTTATTAGGTTCAAAAGTGGACGTTGGGTGTAACCGATGACAAATTTTACTGTACATTTTCTTCTTTAATATTATTCAGTTCAATTAACTTAATATATATTAAAATTGATTTTAGTAATTAGTGATCAAGACTAATTTACCCGATGAGTGGAAGGGATCGACTAAAGAACATTGTATGCTTCCAAATTTTTATCAAGCTTTATATTTTTATTGGTTTCAGCTCATTTCTGAATTAAATTAATCACTTGACTCACTACTCTAATTTAGCCAAGCACTATTGTGTACCACCAAACATATCGTGAATTTTTATATTCTTATTCTTACCAAATAAGCAATTCTTTGAGTGAGAATTGGTATCAGAAAAAAAAAATTCTTAAATAAAAAATAAAATAAATTGTCTTCTCATGCCTAAGGTAAATAATTTTTTAGGTAATAACTATTTCATTAAGTATTGAGGTCAATAATGCTCGAAGTTCGAGTCTCATTGGCGAAGGGTAGAGATGAAAAAAAAAAAGAGAGGCTCATAATCATCTTTAAATAGTCTAACTGGGATTCAAATTTGAAGTAAAAGTGTGTTTGAGTCACATTATTTTGAAAGAATATATTTTGGAATAATAGATTGATGGAGAATGTGCGGTTGAAAAAAAAAAGTTATTGATGTGATTAAAAATATTATTTTATTGAAAATGTGTGGTTGAAAATGAGTAGAAGAATGAGAATGAAAATTTTAATATGGATCAAACAGGGGCTAAGAGTTTAGTTAGACCAATAAAAAAATTGATTGACTCCATATACATAAGGAATGTACAAGGAGCATAATTCTAAATTCAAATCCATTTTCAATCATCTTTCGCAATCAAATACATTAAATAATTAGTAATAAGACAAATTATGAATTACCAAGAGAATGATTTAAAATTATTAAAAAAGCAATTAAAAAATGTAATTAACAAGGATATAATATTTTTCATTAGTGTTGAATTATTTGTCCTTATTTGTCTGAAATTTGGAAGCAGTAAATAATTATAATTTGAATTCAAAATAATCTTGTTTTCTCTTAAACAATGCCAAAATTATGTTAATAGGACAATACACATGCTGTGGAGCCCACTAATCCACTGACCCATTAGAAAAAAGCTCACATAATTTCCTCAATAATCCAAACTAATGGGGTCTTTTATTTGAATTATTCTACTTGTACATCAAGAATTATATATAAGGGTGTATACCCCACTCACATGGGAGTGGGGTCCACTTGTGTAAAATATTTTTTTATCGAAGTGGGCTCTACCCCCATGTGAGGAGGGTGTACACCCCGATGTACATCTTAATGTACCCGTAGCATTAAGAAAATCTCTCTTGGTCTCTCTAGCAACTCACAAAATTCAAACGCTCCGTAACGGCCATATTTTCGTCTTCCTCTATACTAATCTACTGTATCTATATTTTTTAAAAGAAAATCCACTACTTCACAAAACTCTCTCTCTCTCTCTAGTTACTATATTCTCTATATCATCGCCATTTGTTCAAGCTTCTATTCTGCTGCCGGCCTTTCAAATTCAAATCCACTGTAAGTATCTATTCATGGGTGATGTATCTAATTGCTATATTTGCCTTGTCATTTTTTTATGAACATCGATGAATCGTCCATTTTCAATTTATCTCTTATTTTTCTAAATTTTATATTTGAGCTGACAGATTCAATTTTGTGTGATGTGAAGGATAAAGGAGAAGTAAATAAAGTTGAGAGATTTGGAGAGTAATTGATTGTAAAAAAAATGGAGGCTTCGCAGAGAAGGGGAGGAGGAGGAATGGTACCTATATCTCCATCACATACGCCACGTTCGAGCGATAAGGCGGTGAGAGATCCGCGATCTGTTGAGGGCAATGTGAGTGGGAAGCATGATAAGGATAAAGGCGTCAATGTACAAGTCGTACTGCGCTGCAGGTGAGTTGATCCATTGAGTTTTACTTTTTTTTGTTTGGGGATTGAATGGATTAAATTGATAAGTTCTATTGAATTTTCTCTGTAGGCCATTGAGTGAGGATGAGATGAGATTGCACACACCGGTGGTTATTTCTTGCAATGAGAACAGAAGAGAAGTTTGTGCAGTTCAGAATATTGCTAATAAGCAGATTGATAGAACTTTTCAGTTTGATAAGGTTTTCCACTCTAACTTGCTAATATATCTTATAATGAAAAAGAATGAGGACTCAAGCCTAAGAGAAAAGGATGAGATAATTAAGAACTGATCCCATTTCAGAGTTCGAGACTATGAGTGTTGCATTTATTAGATAAGCACATTCTATTGTCTTTTGATTTTGTTTTCTTGCATTCTCTGATTTTTTTCCCTCTTTTGTCGCATAATCTGTTTAGGTCTTTGGTCCGTTATCCCAGCAAAAAGATTTATATGACCAAGCGGTGTGCCCCATGGTATGCGAAGTTCTAACAGGCTATAATTGCACCATATTTGCCTATGGGCAGACAGGAACTGGAAAGACTTACACAATGGAGGGTGGAGCAAGGAAAAAGGTTTGGGTTTTTATCTTGACAATAAACCATATTCGTAGGGCATTTTACTTTAATGTTTATAACTCTGTGTCAGTAATTTGATTTTTCTTCCCATTTAGATTGGGGAATTTCCAAGTGATGCAGGTGTTATTCCAAGAGCTGTTCGACAAATTTTTGATATATTAGAAGCTCAAAATGCTGAGTATAATATGAAAGTAACTTTTTTGGAGTTGTACAACGAGGAGATAACGGATCTTTTGGCACCAGAGGAATGTTCAAAATTCACGGAAGAAAAATCCAAGAAACCAATAGCACTCATGGAGGATGGTAAAGGTGGAGTTTTTGTTAGAGGATTGGAAGAGGAGATTGTGACCACTGCAAACGAAATATATAGAATCCTGGAGAAAGGTTCTGCTAAAAGGAGAACTGCAGAGACCCTTCTAAACAAACAGAGCAGCCGTTCTCACTCTATATTTTCCATCACAATTCATATCAAGGAGTGCACCCCGGAAGGAGAGGAGATGATAAAATGTGGGAAGCTCAATCTTGTTGACCTTGCTGGCTCGGAGAATATTTCGCGTTCTGGAGCTAGAGAGGTCAGGCATCACATAGTATCATATCACTGCTAAGTTGTGATGATAATTCACACATTTTTAAAATATGTTTAACAGGACTATACATACTGGGTTAATAAGATGTTAGAATTTGATGGGCTTATTTTAACAGTATTCTGCTCCACATGTGATGATGTAAAAGGCTTTTGCAGGGTAGAGCAAGAGAAGCGGGTGAGATCAACAAGAGCTTGCTGACACTTGGTCGTGTCATAAATGCTTTGGTCGAGCACTCTGGTCATATACCATATAGGTATATGTTTTTATCATTTTCTCAACTGTGTGTACTGTAGCAAAGCATGTAAGTAAAGTTGTAAAATATGTCACTTTGAATTTTCAGGGATAGCAAATTAACAAGGTTGCTAAGAGATTCCTTGGGAGGGAAAACAAAGACATGTATAATTGCCACAATATCACCTTCCATTCATAGTTTAGAAGAGACACTCAGCACTTTAGATTATGCTCACCGTGCCAAGAACATAAAGAACAAACCGGAGGTCAGTAGTCTTGGTGATGTTAATTCAAATAATTAAATGTATCCACAAATGCTCTGCTCCTAATTTCTTTTGGATGCTTCATTTCTCTGAAATAGTACTTAAAGTACTTGGTTATTATATCAGGTTAATCAGAAGATGATGAAATCTGCATTAATCAAAGATTTGTACTCAGAAATTGACCGACTGAAGCAAGGTTGTCTATTGCTCTCTTTACCTCTCAGGCTCTTTCTGTGCGTGTGGGCCCAACTTTATTCATGTTAGCATGAGTTCTGCAAAGAAAATTGAAATCTCGGGCATGTATTTTTTTTCGATTATTTATAAGTTCCTTATGACAATTTTATGTTCAAAAGAGGTATATGCAGCAAGAGAAAGGAACGGAATCTATATACCTAGAGATCGCTATCTTCAGGATGAGGCAGAAAAGAAGGTTTGAACTTGATCTAAGAATGAACTGCATTTATCCAGAGCCTTGACATTCTAATACTTGAATATTTTCACTTTGCAGACAATGTCTGAAAAGATAGAGCGAATGGAACTTGATTTAGAATCTAAGGACAAGGTACCATCAATTATCAACTGCTCACCACTATATATTTTCTGTGGTTGCCATTAAAAAGCATGAACTGTTACTAAACATTCTGTAATTAGCAATTAGTGGAGCTCCAAGAACTGTACAATTCTCAGCAACAGTTGACTGTGGAATTAAGTGATAAACTTGAAAAAACTGAGGTAAATTTTGTATATCTGCCTTACCCAAAATAAGATCTATTTTCCCTTCTTCTTGTCCATCAGTAACTATCTGTATTTGTCTATTATAATTCAGAAAAAGCTACAGGAAACTGAGCATTCATTGCTTGATCTTGGAGAGAGACATAGACAGGCAAACGCCACAATAAAAGAAAAGGAATACCTGATATCCAATTTACTTGAGTCTGGTAGATTTTTATCCCTCGTATACTCTTCCAGCATTCTTCTTAACGAACTTCCGTACCTTACGCCTGTTGCTAATAGTCACCATTTTCATGTCAACCATATGTCACTATGTATTTCTTAGGTGTCGTTTTGGCCTTATGTTGACAAATGTTTTTTTGCTCCAATGTTTACTCTAGTTCATGAATACAAAATGTTGTTGTTAATTGAAATTTCCAGCAATAGGAAACATTAGCTTAGAAACATGAATTTTCGTGATGAAATAGTTCTCAGATTGCTAGCGAAAGTAAACTTTAAAACATGCCAAACAAGACACTCTTATATCCATTAAAATTAATAATCAAATGACATCATTGCTGTGTTACTGTTTAATGTTTTTCAAAACCTGTTTGCATAAGTTATACCAAGGTTTCATGTGTTAGACTAGCCATAGGGCATCTATGATTGTTGCCATAGCTGTATGACTTTTCTGTATGGTTTTCTTCTATCAGAGAAAGCTCTGGTCAAGCAGGCACTTGAACTTCGAGCAGAACTAGAAAATGCTTCATCAGATGTGTCTAATCTGTTCAGTAAAATAGGTTTGTATTCTAATTTTGAATTATTTGAGATGCTATGTCTTTTCTGCTGTGGAGCCTAATTGTCCTCTGCTTTTCTCTCATATGGCTGACATCCAGAGAGGAAGGACAAAATAGAAGATGACAACAGAATACTTATCCAGAAATTCCAATTTGAATTGACTCAGCAACTTGAAATCTTGCACGAGACTGTGGCAGCTTCGACCATGCAAAAAGAACGACAACTAAAGGAAATGGAGGAAGACATGCAGTCATTTGTATTAACAAAGACTGAGGTATATTTCATTGAGACAATGAAATCTTGTTATGTTACTCTTACTCCACAGTTCACCATCTAAAATGCTTCTCATAGGCTACTGAAGAGCTCCGAAGTCGTCTAGAAAAACTGAAAACAATGTACGGTTCTGGTATCAAAGCTTTAGATGGTTTAGCAGGGGAACTTGATGGTAACTCGGGGTCGACTTTTGGTCATCTGAAGTCTGAAGTTTCTAAACATTCCTCAGCTTTGGAAGAGGTAAGAATTGATAACTTTTGCTCTGTGAAGGAGAACCTTCTTTTAAGCTTCTAGTTGATGTCGGTTCATATGATGCAGCTCTTCAAAGGAATTGGTTCCGAGGCTGATGTGTTACTTCATGATCTTCAAAATAATCTAAACAGTCAAAAGACTAAATTAACTGCATATGCTCAACAGCAACGAGAGGTTAGCTTTTGCTTATCCTCTAAAGAAATTTGTTTAGACATCTAGCAATTGTAGTTCTTCATTTCGAAAAGAGGAGTTTGTTGACATTTTCATGCAATTTCCAGGCACATACCAGAGCAATTGCAACTACGAGATCAGTTTCCCAAATTACTATCAATTTTTTCAAGACTTTAGATATGCATGCTTCAAAATTAGGTGAAATTGTGGAAGAAGCACAGACAAGTAATGATCAGAAAATATCTGAACTTGAAAAGAAATTTGAGGTGATTAAGCTCCTCCAACTAACACGTTTTTTCCCCTTTTTGGGCTAAGCCTCCATCTGAAATTCTCTTTAGCTTTACTTGGCAAAAATGCTTAACGTTTTCCTTCTGGATGTATAATTTAATGTAGGAGTGTTCTGCCCGCGAAGAAAGTCAACTCTTACAAAAAGTAGCAGAGCTGCTCGCTGATTCAAATTCTAGGAAGAAAAAATTGGTAAGGACCTGTACTCGAAGGGAAAGTGCAAATATATCCTTTACTCTACATAGTATTTACTCAATTTTATTAATCCTGAGCATCAAATTATCAGAAAACAGTTTGCAACAGTATCTCTGGGCATTAAGATAGATAACAAAAACGAAAAAATGTAATAAGGAAAAGTGAAGAATTGGTTAATCAGTCTATTGGCAAAGAAATACATTCTTGTATGGCTATTAAAAAAGGCAACATTTTGGATGAAACTCGGACATAACGGCTAAGCCTAAAAATGTAGAAGTTTTAGCTTAGCCAAACATAAAGCTTAAAAGTTATTTTTAAGAAGTAATTTTTTGCAAAGCCTAAGCTTAAAAGTCAAGTTTGAGTAACATTTTTTCCCAAACATGTTGACCAAAAAGAAGTAAATGTAATTTTTTTTGTTAAAAAACTTGCATTTCTAAAAAGCAAGTCTCAATTTTCATAAAAATACCTCTGTTTTTTAGGCTAGTGAAATATTCTTTGAGACCCAAAATGTTTTTGATTGACAATATGGTAGGCCAAATAAATCCTTTGAGCCCATGAGTATAGCTCTACTTATCGTATGTTCAATCACCCTTTTTGATTCCACTTATTCTATCATCGGTGATTATCTGAGCAAGTTAGTTTATGCAAGATGGATGATGATCAACTATTTATCTTCTGTATGTTATTCTTTTTGTGCTAGGTTCAAAGTGCAATTGTTGGACTTCGAGAAAATGCAGCCAGTAGAACTAACAAACTACAACAAGAGGTGTCTATCATGCAAGACACCACTTGTTCTATCAAAGATGAATGGACAACATTCATGGAGAAGGCTGAATCCCATTATCTCGAGGATACTGCTTCATTAGCAAGTGGGAAAGAAGACATGAAAGGCATTCTTCAGAATTGGTAAGTTACATTTGTCTCAATAATACTTCACATTTCTAAATTATCCGGTCAATATTTCATTAGTGGTAAACGGTTTACCAAAAAAACATTATCAATTACGAGGAAACCTTCCCCTGTAGTTGAATCTTTTAATTGGTGTTATACGCTTACGATAATGTGCAGTATGGAAAAAGCGAACTTGGGTGCACAACAGTGGATCAATGCTCAAGAATCCTTGCTTAGCTTAGAGAAGAGAAATGTTGCTTCTGTGGATAAGATTGTCAGGTTTGTTTTATTAAGTATACGCGGTTTTTGAACTTTAATGTTAATCATGCACATTTACTTATTTTTCATATGTTTTATGCTATATATTTACTCTAGAGGAGGAATGGACACTATTCAAGTATTGCGCAGACGATTTTCTTCTGCTGTGTCATCTGCATTTGAAAATGCAGACACCGGAAGCAAGAATCTCCTCTCTTCCATTGATCGTAAGTTATCCAGTTTCTTTCTTTCTTTTTCACACACATTTTCAGTTTAAGCTTTGTAGAAAAATGTTTCATCTATGGCATCATTTATGGTAGAGGGGATACATATACTGGACGAAAAGTTAAGTGTATCTAACTAAGAAAGCCATGCAGGTTCGCTACAACTTGACCATGAGGCATGTAGCAATCTTGATTCCATGATTGTTCCTTGTTGTGGAGACTTGAGAGAGCTGAAGAGCGGACACTACCACAAAATTGTGGAAATCACAGAAAATGCAGGAAAATGTCTTCTAGAAGAATACATGGTAAGAAATCCGAACTATTTGTGCATCAACATGATTTCTTTTGTCTTTTTGCCTCACAAAAGAGATTACTATAGCATTTTTTCATAGACAATAATGTATACAAGCTATTATTACCAGATTACATGGAAGAAAATTATGGTACTTAAAATATACCAAAACTAGTGTATAGTTGCCAACTATTTTAGACATTTGAGTGGATTTTGGAATGAGCAAAATGGAGTACTAAAAAGAAGTCAAATAAGCGACCCGCGACCCTATATTTATTAAAAGAACAACGCTTAGTTTGATGTTGTTTAAAAAAACTAGCTCGAGTCAAACAAATATTACTTTTTCTTCAATCTTGAAAACATAAGGGAATGCTAAAATTTCATTTTCGTATGACTAATGTTTTCCATGGCAGGTGGATCAACCGTCATGCTCAACGCCGAGGAAGAAATCCTTTAATCTTCCGAGCACTGCTTCCATAGAAGAACTCCGAACCCCATCTTTTGAAGAATTGCTAAAGACATTTTGGGATGCAAAATCACCGAAACAAGTAGTGAATGGAGAGGCAAAGAATATTTTAGAGGCTGCGAGAGACTCCCGAGTTCCCCTCACTACTATCAATTAAAGAGACTCCCGAGTTCCCCTCTAAAATATTATTTGTATACATTTGTTCATATACTTGTAAATGTTGCAGTCCGAGATCACTATTCTAAATGTTACATCTCAAAAAGACATTCATTAAAGTTAATTAATTATGATGAAATTTATCAATCTTTCTCGCAGGTCGAGATAATTAATGAAGAGTTGTGCTTCTTGTACATCAAGTGTTATATCAGGGTGTCCATTATGGACACCCTGATGTAACACTTGATGTACTTCTAGTATTTCTCATTAATGAATATTCATCATAAGACAACTAATTCGCATAAAGAACATTTAATTTCATTAAAATATTTTCAAACCCATTTGTTTCAAAAAATTTCCCCCACATGTCATGGAAAGCAAATTTTTTTATAAAGAACTGAGTTTTCAAATTTTTATTCTTGCTTGACATCAGAAACAACACAATCCACAAATATTAGGTAAAAAATGTGAAATGATTAAAAAACAATTGATTTTTTCTACTGATTAATTGACTTCTATCATCATCAAACAATTAATCTCAGACATTGGAGTACACAGATAAAAACAAAGGGACAACATTAATTTATTCTCCAAATATAATTTATTCATGTGTAACTTCAAAACATCAAGAAGTGCAGACTAAAAAATCAAAAACCATTATTGTCTGCTAATGTTGTCATTAATTAAAATTAGTTTCCACCCCTGGAAGGGGGTTGTAAAAAGAAGCACCACCGTGTCCAGCTCCACTGCTTGATGCGCCTGCGCTTGCATTTGGATAAACATTCGCATTTTCATTTGTAAAAAAATCAGGATGAACAGTGTTGGAAAAATTTCCTAAATTTCCTTGAGGCTGCATTGATGCACTTGCACTAGCATTTGGATCGGCATCTGTATTTGCATTTGGAAAATAATCAGGATTAACTGTGTTGGGAAAATTTCCTTGAGGGTGCACTGATGCACCTGCACTTGCACTTGCATTTGGATCAGCATTTGCATTTCTTAAAAAACTAGAATGAACTGTGTTGTAAAAATTTCCTTGAAGGAACATTGATGCACCTGCGCGTGCATTTGGATCTGCATTTGAATTTTCGTTTGTAAAAAAACCAGGTTGAACTGTGGTCAGAAAATGTCCTTGAGGGTGCATTGATGCACCTGCACTTGCATTTGGAAAAAAATCAGAATGAGCTGTGTTGGCAGAATTTCCTCGAGGGTACAGTGATGCACCTGTACTTGCATTGGAAAAAAAACCAGGATAAACTGTATTCAGAAAATTTCCTTGCGGGTGCATTGATGCACCTGCACTTGCATTTGGATCTGCATTTGGGAAAAAACCAGGATGAAACGTGTTGGGAAGATCTGCATTTGGAAAAAAACCAGGGTGTACTGTGTGGGGAATATTTCCTTGAGGGAGCGTTGATGAAGAAGAAAAACCTTCGTCAATCCTCAATTTTTCCATTCGATAATTTGCTTGATTTATGAAATTTTCCAGCATAGATTTCATTTGTTGCACTTGTTCTCTATTGAGCTCTTGGACTGGAGCTTCCCACCAACCTTTGACTGTGCGCTTTTCTCCGATTTCATTTAAGCGCTGGGCTCGTTTCATTTCGAGCTCGACTTTCTCACTTATTTCGTCAAGTGTTTCATTCAGTGCATTGACTTTACTTCGGACATAAGTCTCAAAAATTTCACTAGAATTGTTAGATGGTTCTTTATGATAATATCGATTGAGAACGGATTCCATAGTAGGATGAAAAAATGAAAATGGCTTACCAGTTGGCGAGGAAATGATAATCCCCATATCAACATCACATAGCGTACATAGTTCACTTGCCTTTTTTATTAATCCTACTCGTCGTTTCGAGAATGTTGCATAACGATCTTCCTCGTTCTCGATCTTATGGATCTCAATCTTTCGACGGCCTCGTGATGTCCTTCTCTCCATAATTGAAGTTTGTCCTAGAAAATTGTTTTTTGTTCATTGGCAATTATTGTTCCTTGTTGTGGAGACTTGAGAGAGCTGAAGAGCGGACACTACCACAAAATTGTGGAAATCACAGAAAATGCAGGAAAATGTCTTCTAGAAGAATACATGGTAAGAAATCCGAACTATTTGTGCATCAACATGATTTCTTTTGTCTTTTTGCCTCACAAAAGAGATTACTATAGCATTTTTTCATAGACAATAATGTATACAAGCTATTATTACCAGATTACATGGAAGAAAATTATGGTACTTAAAATATACCAAAACTAGTGTATAGTTGCCAACTATTTTAGACATTTGAGTGGATTTTGGAATGAGCAAAATGGAGTACTAAAAAGAAGTCAAATAAGCGACCCGCGACCCTATATTTATTAAAAGAACAACGCTTAGTTTGATGTTGTTTAAAAAAACTAGCTCGAGTCAAACAAATATTACTTTTTCTTCAATCTTGAAAACATAAGGGAATGCTAAAATCATTTTTCATTTTGGTATGACTAATGTTTTCCATGGCAGGTGGATCAACCGTCATGCTCAACGCCGAGGAAGAAATCCTTTAATCTTCCTAGCACTGCATCCATAGAAGAACTCCGAACCCCATCTTTTGAAGAATTGCTGAAGACATTTTGGGATGCAAAATCACTGAAACAAGTAGTGAATGGAGAGGCATAAGACATTTTGGGATGCAAAATCACCGAAACAAGTAGTGAATGGAGAGGCAAAGAATATTTTAGAGGCTGCGAGAGACTCCCGAGTCCCCCTCACTACTATCAATTAAAGAGACTCCCGAGTTCCCCTCTAAAATATTATTTGCATACATTTGTTCATATACTTGTAAATGTTGAAGTCCGAGATCACTATTCTAAAATGTGCATCTAAGTGAATGTTACATTTCAAAAAGACATTCATTATGATGAAATTTATCAATATTTCTCGCAGGTCGAGATAATTAATGAATATGCACTTAGTCAATCATAAGACAACTAATTTCATTAAAATATTTTCAAACCCGTTTATTTCAAAAAAAAAATCCATCAAATGTCATGGAAAGCAATTATTTCTATAAAGAACTGAGTTTTCAAATTTTTATTCTTGCTTGACATCAGAAACAACACAATCCACAAATATTAGGTTAAAAATGTGAAATGATTAAAAAACAATTGATTTTTTCTACTGATTAATTGACTTCTATCATCATCAAACAATTAATCTCAGACATTGCATTAGAGTACACAGATAAAAACAAAGGGACAGCATTAATTTGTTCTCCAAATATAAAGTAACTAAAGATTGAGTCATGTGTAACTTCAAAACATCAAGAAGTGCAGACTAAAAAATCAAAAACCATTATTGTCTGCTAATGTTGTCATTAATTAAAATTAGTCCACTGCTTGATGCACCTGCGCTTGCATTTGGATAAAAAACAGGATAAATTGTGCTGGGAAAATCTGCATTTGGATAAACATTCCCATTTTCATTTGTAAAAAAAATCAGGATGAACTGTGTTGCAAAAATTTCCTTGAGGCTGCATTGATGCACTTGCACTAGCATTTGGATCTGCATTTGGAAAATAATCAGGATTAGCTGTGTTGGGAAAATTTCCTTGAGGGTGCACTGATGCACCTGCACCTGCACCTGCACTTGCACTTGCACTTGAACTTGCATTTGGATCAGCATTTGCATTTCTAAAAAAACTAGAATGAACTGTGTTGTAAAAATTTCCTTGAAGGAACATTGATGCACCTGCGCGTGCATTTGGATCTGCATTTGAATTTTCGTTTGTAAAAAAACCAGGTTGAACTGTGGTCGGAAAATGTCCTTGAGGGTGCATTGATGCACCTGCACTTGCATTTGGAAAAAAATCAGAATGAACTGTGTTGGCAGAATTTCCTCGAGGGTACAGTGATGCACCTGTACTTGCATTTGGAAAAAAACCAGGATAAACTGTATTCAGAAAATTTCCTTGCGGGTGCATTGATGCACCTGCACTTGCATTTGGATCTGCATTTGGGGAAAAACCAGGGTGTACTGTGTGGGGAATATTTCCTTGAGGGAGCGTTGATGAAGAAGAAAAACCTTCGTCAATCCTCAATTTTTCCATTCGATATTTTGCTTGATTTATGAAATTTTCCAGCATAGAGTTCATTTGTTGCACTTGTTCTCTATTGAGCTCTTGGACTGGAGCTTCCCACCAACCTTTGACTGCGCTTTTCTCCGATTTCATTTAAGCGCTGGGCTCGTTTCATTTCGAACTCGACTTTCTCACTTATTTCGTCAAGTGTTTCATTGAGTGCATTGACTTTACTTCGGACATAAGTCTCAAAAATTTCACTAGAATTGTTAGATGGTTCTTTATGATAATATCGATTGAGAACGGATTTCATAGTAGGATGAAAAAATGAAAATGGCTTACCAGTTGGCGAGGAAATGATAATCCCCATATCGACATCACATAGGGTACATAGTTCACTTGCCTTTTTTATTAATCCTACTCGTCGTTTCGAGAATGTTGCATAACGATCTTCCTCGTTCTCGATCTTCTGGATCTCAATCTTTCGACGGCCTCGTGATGTCCTTCTCTCCATAATTGAAGTTTGTCCTAGTTTAACAAAAAACAAGTAACCGTTACTTTGCTCGATTGGTATTTATAGGAGAAAAATAATAATTACACCACGACGGATTCGCCATTATAGGAAATTATTTTACTACCCAAAAATCTAATTAAGAAAAAATTCGAATGCACTAAATCTTTATTTGGATTACAATGAATCTAATTTATTTCATTTCATTTCCATACACCTTTTCATATAAATATTAGCTGGATTGAGGAAATTGAAAGACTGTTTCAATAATATAATTTTTTAGTGTGAATGCAAAAAAAAGATTTTTCATTAAGGATATGTTTGATTGCAAATGTGAAAAATAGATGGCAAGAAAATGTTTTATTGGGAATTGAATTGTCTAGAAATTGTTTTACTGGGAATTGTAATTAATTGTGTTTGTTGGTATAATTTTCCATCTGAAAAATGTTGAAAGTTTGGTATCCGTTTGGTTTTGTTTTTTATGAAAATTGTCCATTAAAGTGATAATTTTTTCTACCATTTGGTCTAGAATTTGTTCTAATTGTCAAAAAAATTTGAAAAAAAATTATCATACCGAATACTATTCGTTTGGCTTTGTATTGTATGGAAATTGTCAATAAAAATACAAAAAAGTTTACCATTGTGTTTAGAATTTTTTCCAATTGCCAAAAAAAAGCTGGAAAAAGTTTTACCACAACAAGGCAAGAAAATCAATTCAATAGTTAGGTGGAAAATGGGCGCGTGAGGCTTCAACCAAGAAAATCAATTCCCTAAAAAAAAAAAAAAAACATATCAAACACCACATTTGTTGGAAAAAGGAAAAAGTTTTTCAATTTTCCTAGAAAATAATGATTATCAAACAGACTATAAAAGATGATGAAAGTCAAGTGAAAAAATAATTAAAAAGATTTTCCAGAATCCAATTTAAATTCTCGTTAGATGCCAAATATAAAGGAACCCAATCCTTTGGTTGAATGTTTTACTAATACTACGTTTCTATAGTATACTTGATTATATTTATTTTATTATTTTTACTGTTAAATGACTTATAATAGTTAGCCATAGTGACAACATTTAGGTGAGTGACATTTCCAGCCTACTTGTATGCTAGAATTACATAGGCTTTAAAGGAAGTGTTTTTTTATATTTTTTATAGGTTTAAGGTAGAAGTTTGATTACTTTGAAACTATCTCGACATATTATAGAAAGCAATTCAATAAAGTGATAACATTATGAATTCGCGTGATGAAAATTAGAGTTTAGTTATCCAAATAACATTGAAGTATTCTACGAAGTAATCTAGCCTATAGTAATAATGACTTCAACTAATGTAAGGAAAATATGAAGATTATATATTACACTCGAACTAGGTCGAGGTATTCAACGATGTACTTCAACATTAAGTGTTAACAAATTCAGGTGCCTAAAGAACATTGGAGCTTGAATACACATGAATAACATCTAGATATTAGAGAAAGTATTGTAGTAAAAAGAAATACTCATTTAAAATTCATTCTCCAATATTTATTTTCATTACATTCTTTTTGGGGTAAATGGGTGGAAAGATAACAAAAGATCTATTTTTTTGCAGTAGGAATTCTCTAAAACCCTAATTTTCATAAAATATCTTGTTCAACTGAAGTCAAAACAACAATGGAACCGTAAGAGACAATATATACAGATAAAGCAATATATGAAGAAGAATTTGAAAAAGTAAGAATTACCATTTTTATGGGTTTGATGAATTATTATTTGAAGGATTCTTGATTTGTGTTTAGGTTATTTGATATTGTGTCGTTTGAATTCATGTAGTATCCGTAAGAAATTTCATTTCGAATAATTTGAGTTTCGAAGGAAGGATGAACTAAGCAAATTTGTGTATAAAACTAAAACAAAATATCGTAAAAAAGTAAGTTAGGAGCATTGAGTGTCTCCTAAACAAAAGAAAATATAAACAATGTTTTTTGTCACTGGCCAAACCGAATGTCTCCAAAATTGTGCAGCTTAGTATTGTCTCCAAAAGCTAGATAACTAGAAAACTTAGCAATGGAAAGAAGTGACACTCTTCGAAGAAAAATTGTCTTTTGGTCTAAATCAGTGAAGAGAAAAGAGAAGTTTGAGTGATCAAAATTCTTGTCTCTCCTATGACTTCGTGTCTAAAAGAGGGAAAGAATCACAAACGTTACCAACTTCATCTATTGCTGGCCTGCAAAATGGAAGACTTCTCGATAAGACCAAGCAAGCCAAAGATAGTTGTGCACAAAAAATTGATGAGAAAACATGAGATAGCAAAAAAAAAAAGGGTAACAGAAGAAACCTTTTAAATTTGCTCTGGTTGATTTTTGAATGATCTTTTGAAACAAAATTGGAAAGGTCAAC